TGGAATTGGAATGTAAACTGACCTTTTCCAATCCTGTGGCCATTGTTAAGTTTTCCAAATTTGCTGGCAAATTGAATGTAGCTTCTTAATATCTACACATAAATAGAAGTGGAATCTACAATAATTCGATGAGCTAATTTTTAATGGTGATGCAGACAAAAGTGTTTTTCAGATTATCTACTTGTTTAAAGAAAAAAGTTTCCCCTGTTCTGTCATTTTCGACTCTAAGAAATGGTATTCATCTAAATTTCTCAGCCGAGGCAGTCAGCCTTGTGTGAAGACATTTCCATGGCCATGCAGCCAGTATGACTATAGGCCAAAGTTCACAGAACACTGTTACCTTCCCACCAAATGATATCTATTTATCTACTCACGTTTACATGCTTTAGAACTACTAGATTTGTAGGAGCTGGGGCAGGTAATGCGAGCTCAGTGCTCAGATCTCGAACTTGTGCTGTCAGCTTTCAAAGTAACAAGTTCAGTGTCTTTAACCGCTGAGGCCTCATGATCCCCTCCATCTACTTGTTTCTCTCTCAATAAATCTGCATAGGATTTTGTTAGGTCTGCGACACTCATTCTATCCTATCCTATCTTATCTTTAATGGAATTCCACCTACTAATCTCAATTTCTAGGTAGGATGAGATCAACTTAATTCTTCAGTTATTTTAGAAAACATATTTTAAATTGCCTCAGTTGGAATACAGCCCTCTCAGGAAGAATAAAATTCTCTACCCTTCACAAAACAAAATACATTCCTTAAGGAAAAGATTCAAAAATTTACTCCTAAAGCCATTCAAAGTGATCCTCAAAAATACTTCTTTGCCCTGCCTGTATTTAAAGAAATATAGTCCTTAGCCTAAAAGGAGTTATGCATCTCTGATTTAAGTACATATTATCCTCAGTTAACAATGGTAATTGGGACTGGAATTTCTGTTGCCAAGTAATGCGGCTGTAAAGTTCAATATCATGTGACCACATTGCTTAGCAATGGCACTCCAAGCATTCCCTTGATTGTTAGTTGACTTGCAAGCCAGGTAATGCCAAGTGTGGTGGAGGGGGGGGGGGGGTTGCGGAGGGGGGGGGGGGGGGTGCATGATTGGCCAATGAAGCCTTGAAATATGCAGGGCTAGACTACGGTTGATAGCTGCTGGGCAGAGGAAGTACAAGCAACTAAGTGGAATGACTTATTATCTTGCCTGTCAAATTGACTTTGCTTGTGGAAAACCAGCAAGGAAGATTACAAGTGCAAACATCTTAAATGCAAGCAAACACAGATGTTGCAATGTTGTGTCTGTGGAAATGCTGGAATAGTTGGAACTTTGAGTACCATTCATTCAGAACTATATAGTACAGCAAGTGCTGAGAACAGACATGAGCACTTAAATCATTCTTAAGCAGTAGTATTATTTCTGTATTGGTCATAAAGAGGGAGGGAACAAAACTGGCATAAATCCATCCAGTGTATTTATGACTGAGAAATGAAGTAGGAATTTCCTGCAGCATGCATTCCATGTGGTATTAGCTCACCATATTGGGACTCATTTTCTCTATTCATTCAAACATGAACAGGAAGAAGGGGAGAAAGGACAGCAACTTGGTAGCAAATTCTACCCTCTAACAATGAACATTTGTTATATTGCACTAAAAAGAGATGTATAATACATGTAGAATAGCATGATTCCGAAGTGCTTCATACTGTCATAAAAGAGGACATAAACATTTTAATCTATCTATATAATACCAAAACTCTCATTTTTTAAATCTTTTACAGTGCATCATAAGGAAACAATTTTTGAACCAAAGTATCTCAAATAGATTAACTTACAGAATGTGTCTGAAATCTGGGAACCATGGCTCTCAAAGGAATTAAGTTTGGAGAAATTCTGACTACTTCATTGCTCAGCTGCTGTTGGTGTCAGTGACTGCTGCAGTCACATGATCCTCATGTTTAACATTCCAGGGAAATTTCCCAGCCACTCTTACAACCCTTTGCTCCCCCCCCCCCCATTCCATAGCAACCACTTACCTGTCTGTTGGGGCCTCTGGTATTTTCATATGCTTTCTCTGAACTGAACAGCCCCTCTTATACAACTCCTCATAGGGGTTGTCTTTTCTGACCCACAATAGCACCACTTTTGGACTGATATGCATTTTCTGACCTGTTCCAACCCCACATACTCTATCCTATCCATGTGGCACTTTTTGCACATCCCCATAATTCCATGCACCCTTCCTAACTAGTGCTGCACTCTTGTGGACCCTCCCCAACCAATGCAATATATCTTTGAATGCACACACACTTCCCAACCTGCACAGCACCTTTCATGTATTCTCACCTATCCTTTGCTCTCTCCACACTGGCAGTAGCCATTTGCTTGTCTGCTAGCCTTCAACTTGAACTTCCTGCTGGTTTCCCCAGTGACTTTCTCCTTGAAAGTCTCCAGTGAACAAAGTAAATGGAGAAGCTAGCAGAAATTCTAGGGAAGAAAGGAAGGAAAGGAAGGAAAATAATGACAGAATGGCTGGGAGGAAAGAACAGAGAGTAGGGAAGGCAGAGGTAATTTCAGGGAGTGAAGGGGAGAGGAAGGAAAAAAGGAAGGGAGAGGGACAGTGATGGGATTCAAAAAAATTTACTTTCGGTTCTGTGGGCATGGCTTGATGGGCATGGCAGGGGAAGGATAGTGTAAAATCTCCAGTCAGAGGTGGTATTTGCCTGTTCTCTGAACTACTGAAAATTTCTGCTACCAGTTCTCCAGAACTGGTCAGAACCTGCTGAATACCACCTCTGGATAGGTAGAAAAATGAAATGAAGAGTTGAAGAGAGGGAAGAAGGAAGAGGCAGGAAAGGTGAAGAACATTTTGAAGTTTCAATTGGTATAGATGTGGACATGTGAGAGGTTCACACTCTGTGAACTGACTGGTTGCTGTTTTGCTTCTGGTGCAATTTAAGGTTATCATCACTGAAGCTGTGCATGGCATGGATACAAGCTACTTTTAAAAACTATCTTACCACAATGGGACTGGCCTACCCCATCTGCACTGGCAGAGGAGGCATACCACAGATCCTGTCAGTTAAGAAATTTCAGCTATCAGAGTCCAGGACACGTTGTTGTGGCTTTTGTCCTTTGGAACATGTTACCTCTGAGGTGACATTGGCTCCACTCTTCTCACCTTCCATAAGGACTTGAAGATCAGGCTCTGTCAGATGGTTGGGGCCCCAATAGTGCAGTATCTCAATGGAGGTTATTGATAAATTAAGATGCAATCCCACCACCACCCCTCATCTTTTAAATATAATTTATCTTTGATTATAACTCCATTTTTATTGTTTTGGAAATATTTATATTATGGTTTTAATGCTTTTAATGCCACCAGGATCACTTCAAAACAAGATGGATAGAAAATAAATTGGATAAATAAATAAGTAAATAAATAAATGAAAGTAAAAAAGAAAAGGTGGAAGGCAGGGAGAGAGACAGTGAAGGAGGGAAGGAAGGAAAGAAGATAGTGACAGACAAATGAACAGAGGGAAAGAGAGAGGAAAATTTCTGATGTTTCCTGCCATATTTCCCCAAGGAAATCCAATCAGGAACCAAGAAGGAAGTTGGAAGTCATTCCTGCTCACCCCTTTTTGTCCACCTGTGGTCATTCAATTTCTCTATTTAGATAAAGAATTATCCCTGAAACAATGACACAATAGGGCATGGATTATCTAGTAAGCATATAAAATAAGAGATGTATAAAAAGTGGCAATACACCTTTTACAAGTGGCAAATTTAAATATTTAACTTTTCATGCTGATTAATAACAGATTAATATAAAATTAAGATGGTGTGCTGATTAAAAATATATAAGGGTCAGTGAAATATGTCTTAGAGAAATATTTTGGTTGCAATATTTTCTGTATTCATCTTTATTATGTAATAGCTTATCTTGGTATGTGAAATATAAAGCTTCTGGCTTGACTGAACATGTGCAGAACATAGCAATGACAAATATGTTTTGTTAATAAGGAAAAAGGAAAAATACCAAGAGAAGCAATCAAACAATTACCAACATGCCCAATTATGTAATCCTGGAAATTCTTCCTACTGCCTGCCTATGAAACCAAGGAACAGTTTGAACTGCCTTTCACTAAAGGCCAACTTGGCAAAAAATTGGGATAAGGAAGAGCACTTTACTCCAACTTTTTTGGGCTTTAGTCCTCAAAAGTCTAAACCAACACAGTCATTCAAAACATTTGAACGGCAAGAATTTATTGTCTGCAGCACATATTCCTTAGATTTTCTCACTTTCCTCTTTTTTATGTTGGTTTGTATTTTAATGTATGATTTTGAGACTCAGTGAAGACACATACCCACACACACACACACAAGTAGAGCAAAGTATATACAGAAAATAATTTTAGCTAAGTTAATGACAAAATAACAACTTATGATTTAAACAAGGATTCTTACAGTCTTCAAAACCTTCACTGGACTGTAATTAACTTGCAAAAGTGTCTGACAGTTTAAAACATATATGACCTGAGGGCCTCAAGGCTGCACATATCCCCCACCTAGTTTATTTTTGTACATTCCAGAGTTCTTCCAACAAAATTTTGAAAATTGATGACATTTTTTGAAGGCATTTTGAAGCAAGAAAAAAAATGCAATTGTATATTTAAATCTACAAGTGTAGATTCAACATACCTTACCCCAAAAAATCCTGAGTCATTAGGGCACCTTTTGCTATAATCCTGCCTACTTTGCAATATTGCCTTGCCTCTTGCAGGCTGCATTTTTAGCCTTGTTTTACATACTATTTACTTAGTAGAAAAACAGTTTAAGAAACTGCAACAACTTTTCATGAAAGACCTAATCAATCAAGATGAGAATTCGTTCTATCCATGTAAAATTTGCAATACCTTCTGAAGACACTAATAATAAAAATTAAATGTATAAATGTACTTATGCAAACTTCAAATTAATTTACTGAAAAGTTCAACTGATTCGCTTACCAAAATCAGTTCTGCAATTCTCTGATGGGACATAGGTGTCATGATCAGTTGGATTCAGTTGTTGGTATTGCAAGGGAGTTTTAACTATAAAAGGTGAATAATAAAACAAGACTTCTATTATTTATTTTTAAATCAAATTTAAGCACTGCCTATCTCACTATCACTAAGTGATTATTGTGAATTATAAATTTTCATTAACGAAATAAAGAAACCATCATTCCAAAACAGTCATGTCCACGTACCATAGGTAGCCTCTGGTGATACAGGAAATGCTGGAGTAAGTGGAACTGTTGTATTCTTGCTGGGTGAGAAAATTTTTCCATCTTCTTCATTTGGGTTTTCCAAATAACTTACAATACCCATCTGGAATGTAAAACAGGATTACAGGATGGAAAACCATTTGTCGTAACCATATACAAACTTCATAGATAGCCCTATTTATTCTAGTCAGTTGCCAGTTTTAATTAAAAAATAGATTTATGAAACTGTTAACATTTAAATAGACAAACAAGAATTAGTCCAAACGCCAACTTTATAATTTTCTAAAAACAATGGAATGGTTTCCAACTTCTAAGAATTTGTACTAAACCCTATAAATATTGCCCTTTCAAAATAAAGCAACACTGTGGAAAGAACCATTTGTTTACTATTTCCACTTCCATAATGAAATTGAGTCCCAAAACACCTGCCAATATCAAAGATTTCCAAGGCAAAAGACTATCACAGTTTTTCAATCTGAATAGAAGATAATATCTGCAGCTCAAGGTTGAATTTTAGAGTCCTTAGTACTCTCTGTGCTTGGTTGTTTCTTTGAAGATGTTTTATCACTGAACTAATTAGATAATGAAACATCAACAACCAAGCAAGCTCAGAAAGCATCAAGGTCTCCACAATTTTTAAAATGAAGATATTTATGAAATCTATCAATATATATAGTATGCCATATGTATAATGTGGAAAAGGTCAATAATAGAATAATAAAGAAGATTTCATAGAGATCATGCAGCTCCTTAGTGCAGGAATCCCCAGACCATCCCAGACAAATGATTGTCTAATGTTTACTTTAAAACTTTCAGAGATAGAGTATTAATGACTTCAGGAGAAAGCCTGTTCCCCTAATTAATATCTCTCGTATTCAGGAAATTCCACCTTGTTTCAAGCTTTGATCTTGTTTTCTAAAGTTTCCACCAACCGATTTTGTCTTAGGTTCAGGCACTAATTAATATCTATAATGTCTTCTTTGTGATACCTCTTCAGATATATCTCATGGTAGCCTTCTAATTCTTCTCAGAACTAATAATGCCAATCCAGGTATTATATCTTTATATCATTTCTCACTATTGAACACTATTTTGTTCATGCCCAATATTCAATATATTAAAATCCTTTGGATAGATATCATAACTCTAACTCTAACCCTAACCTAATACTAACCCTTTAAAGTATTTGCTCTTTGTCTGTTCCTTCTTATTTTATTAAAATGTCTTCATGAAAAAACTGACATGACCTTATCAGGCATCTTGGGGTTTGGGGTCACATTTGGAAGTTTGAAGTTTGAAAGTGCTGTGACAAACTGGTTGTCAGTGTAGTCAGTTATAAAACATTACTTGAATTAAAATGGATGCAGAAGGGAAGGTGAATGCACACACATGTACAATTCAAGGTTTGCCCTAGTTGTCTTTGCATAAATGCATATACATAGACAACATCTTTGATAAAACTGTCAGCAAAATATTTGTGTATGCATTTGTGTGCAAAGAAACTTGGAAAATCTTTGAAGCAACAATGCAATCTTTCTTAAGTGTTCCAGCTTTAATGCTATGTGCAAGGGGATGCTTCATTTAACCAATATGCTTCATGATGGTTCATTGTGTCTTTTGAATGCTTTGTGCAGCTCAGCAATCCATTTTCAAATTTACCTTTATTCTTCTTTTAGTCTGGATTGGTTTGTACATTTTCAAACAAAGTGGTAGCTCTACCTATTTGCCATTTTTATATTCTGAAAATGCCTGAAGGGCACACTTGAAACTCAGAAATCTACTTGGAAATAAAAATGATTTTGGAGGCTGGCACACTCTTAAGAAAGATTGCACTGTTGCAAGCATCTACATTCCCATTTCATTTTTTATTAATTAAAAAATAAATTAGTAATGCAGGGAGCTACGTGATTGTCAAAGAATATACTGAAAAGCATTCTATTAACAGAAGAAAACAACTAATATGTAAGGGTAAAGGTTCCCCTCACACATACATGCTAGTCATTTCCAGCTCTAGGGGGCAGTGCTCATCTCCGTTACAAAGCCGAAGAGCCAGAGCTCTCCGAAGACATCTCCATGGTTATGTGGCCAGCATGACTAAATGCCGCACAGAACACTGTTACCTCCGCACCAAAGTGGTCCCTATTTTTCTATTTGCATTTTTACATGCTTTCGAAGTGCTAGGTTGGCAGAAGCTGGGACAAGTAACAGGAGCTCACTCTGTTAGGTGGCACTAGGGATTCAAACCGCAGAACTGCCCACCAGGTCAGCGTCTCAGTCACTGAGCCACCGTGTCCCTTAAATAATATGTATTATATGCTTTTTTAAAAGTATCAGGAGTTGCATACAAATATGTGGAAGTCCAGAGAAAATAACTTGGCAAAGAAACAGCCTTGTACATTATATCAAAATTTCATTCTTCTGTACTTTTAATTTGATATGCAACTTCATTCCCATTCTGGCAGGTCAAGAATCAGGGTTACAAATTACTGAGGAGTCCTTGGAGCTTTCTGCGTTTGGTGATTTTCCTGCAGATATGTCATTACATAAACTAGATAACATCATCATCAGTACTAGTAACGAGTAGGGCTTGCTCTCAGTTTAACTTCTAATGGTTTCCCTGTCAGGGTTTTGACCAAAAAGACCAAACACCTTTCTACCAGCAATCAACACTCTGATGTGCATAGATTAACATCAAGATTAATATCAAACCAAGCTAACAGTAAACAGTCCAATCAAAGAAACTCCATGACCACTCCCACCAACCCTGATGGGGCAAGCCTCGGTCAAGTACACTAATTGGTGTAATGAAACATCTGCAACAAAAAAACAAGCAAGCTCAGAAACCACCAACGACCCCCTCATTTCAACTCTGAAGTACAAATATTCCTCTTTATTGGTAACAGATTATTATTGGCTGCCACAAATAGAGCAACAGCATCCACAGATCATAGTTTAAAATTTGAAATATTTTTCACTTCTTTTTAAATGTTACTATTTAAAAAAAATAAGTTGCCAATTTATTTTAATCATTTCTCCCCTACCTCTTTGGTTTTTACTGCAGAGGCTAAGTCCTGTCCTAAAGAATGGTCAGGGACATCAGATTTTGTCCATCTATACTTTCTGCATATTGACTGTGTTGAGATATCATTGTCATAAGATTCAGGATTTAACTTCTTGTTTTTTCCATTTAATATACCATCATCTTGAAAACCTGAAAATAAAAATGGATAATAAAAATATTTAAATATTTTTGAACTATTATATTAATCTATATAAGAAATGGGAAATCTCTTTAGAAAGTATTGATAATTACGTATCAACTCAAAATCTTCCTAAATTATTAAAAAAAAAGTCTATAAGCAAATTCTGAACAATCCAATAATCTTTGGAATAACAGAAGCAATTAAAAAGAACTAAGACAGGTAAAGCGCTGGGTCCAATGCTTTATCACGTGGATTCTATACAATTTTTGAAGATCATTTACTTTTTCTGATGAAGGACTTAATGAATTCTAAATTTTATAGGAAAAATCTGTACTGGATTTATGGAAAGATGCCTACATATCTTCAATACCCAAAAAAGAGCAGAACTTAACTTCTGTGAAGAATTACATGACTATTTTTCTTCTTCACAGTTATAAAATCTTTACATTAACTGAAAGACTAAACAAAGTTTTACGAGACTACATACATGAAGATCAGTGTGGTTTTCTACCCAGAAGACAACTAAAAGATAATAAGAGGGTATGGTTGGATATCTGGCAGTCGGCAGAGTTAGCTTGCATACTGCATTTTAACCACTAAGATTTTGGAATTAATTATAAAGAATCTTTCCCATGAAAAATGCTTTTGTTTTGAAAAATAATAAGATTTTTAAAAATGGACACTAGATGGAATTAGAGCAAATGAAATACTGTTTTATATTAAAGGGTAACAACATTTAAACTTGATTTTCAGTTACAAAAGGAAGAAAAATATTTTAACATTGGACATATTGAAGGATTTTTTAAAAAACAAATTTAATTAGCTTATCAAAATATAAAATACAAAAAAGAAAGAAAATAATGGGAAAATAGGAGAGGAAAATGTGTAAGGGAAAAGGAAAAAGAAAAGCATTTAAGGATATTTTTGAACAATGGATTCAGAAGTTAACTTTAATAGTGTCTGCTACTATAGATAAACTAAGTCTAAAATGTTATGGAAGAGGAGTATGTTCTACTTAGCAAGACAGAGATTGAATTAAAAGTGGATCTTTACAAGAATGACATTAAAAAAATTTAATTGCAAATATAAAAATTGGCTGACGTCTTAATAATTAAAAGGGATATATAACCAACCAAGCAACCAAGTGAGTTATTTGTATAGTTCTTCTATATTGGATATACAAAAGGGTCTTATTTAGGTTTTGAAGAATTTTGTGAAAAGGAACAAAAAAAAGTACGAAAACCAACAATATTATTCAAACAGATTAAAACTTAGGATTGTTAGAAATAAAAGAAAGAAATATAAAGTTGGATCCAGCCCACGGGGTACTTAAATCTGGCCCATGGGGCCAGCCTGAAAATAGCAAAGGTCCATGGTGCCTCAGGCAGCCAAAACAGGGGTGCTCCTCCTACGGCACCTTGCCAGCCAAAACAAACTGTTTTGGCTGGCAGGGTGTTGCAGGAAGCGTCAGTCTCATCTCCCCACCCACCCTCAACCCGCCCCAGCCTGCAGAGAAGTACAATGCTGATATGGCCCTCGAAGAAATCCAGTTTGACAAATCCAACTGCATACACAATGCAGTTTATATAATTAAATACAGAATGGAACAATGATAGTTTTTTTTTCAAATATGTTTCTGAGAGATCTGAATAGGAGGAATTTTCACCTATGGACTTTTTATTGTCATCTGTCTGACCAACAATTATGCCAACAGAATATGACATTAGAGAAATAATTGGTTTGAATAGATTTTAAGTTTTGACGCTCCCTTAGTGGATTGGATTGGCTATTAGTTGTCTATCAGGATTTTTAATGGTTTACTTTTTATTTCTGTTCACCACTCCAAAGTTCCTTGAGTGGATGGGTGTTTACAGGAGGGAGGGAGGGAGTGGAAGGAGGAAGGGAGGGAGGGAGAGAGAGAGAAAAGAGGCAGGGGGCACAATTCTTAATACAGAAACTAATTTAAGCCAATAAATGGTACAGTTTTTTGGTACAGTTTCTTTACACCTAATGATTATTATACAAAAAGAGCACAGAATAACAGGGTTGGAAGAGTTCTTGGAAGTCTTCTAGTCCAACCCCTGCTCAAGCTGGTGACCCAATACCATTCCAATTAATGGCTGTCCTGTCTCTTCTTGAAAACATCCAGTGACAGAGCACCCAAAACCTCTGGAGGAAATATGAATAGTGAATTATTTAGAGTTCACTATTCATATTTGCAGCAACCAGAGCACCCTCAGAAACATATTGCTGAAATAGGTTCTTGGAGGCTCAAGATATCCATTGTACTTTATAAATCTTCAATTCCCCCTGTTTTTCACCTTTGGTCTTTAGTTGATATCATCAGGATTAGCTGTGGTTTATTTATTTTTTATTAAATTTCTAGGAGTCCAATTATAAAATAAGTCTGGGTGGCTTTAGAAGTTTAAATGCTAAATGATAACATTATATAAAAAAGAACATATTAGTTCAATGAGGACATATTAAAAACTTATCTCTCCAACATCATTCTCAAAATAACTGGGCTCACCAAAAACTCCAAACCAAGGAAAAGAGCTAAGTTTTCAGGCTTGTATAGATAGTCAATAAAAATATCCTAGGGAATGCTGTTCTGAGAACTGGGACTACAATAGAAATGCCCTACTTGACCAGAGATAGGATCCACAAGATGATATTGCTTAATTGATTGTTGAAATATAGCATCAATGTACCAACCTCCCTCCCGGGCTCAAAAACAGTTTGAAAATCCGAAGTGTCCCTCCCAATTTCAAAATGTGAGTTGCTTTTGCCCAAAATATTATTTGAATAGTAAGTTTTAACACGGCATATTTGTCATGGGCCATTCAAAAAAATAGTTGTGAAAAAATGCTTGAGAGGAATAGCTCAGAAAGTCTTAGACTAGTTCCATAATGTCACAACTCAATCATGGCACTGCAGATATTAATTCTTTCAAATTTAAAAAGATAATAATTGATTGATAATTTGTCTTTTCCTTCCTTTCTTGTCACCATTTCTTAGGAAGCATCTAGCAAAAAAAATACGAAGAGTAAAAAAAGGGGGGGGGATGCTAAGTACGTAAATGCTGTGATTGATGCACCATGTTCTGGAAACTCATTTTTCCAGGCTTAGAATTCAATTTTCCATAATTAGAATGTGTAATATAATGAAGCATAAAAGCCAGTCTTGAAAGGCTAAACTTCTTTTCATATGAGAGGTGGAGAAAAATCAGTTAATTAAAAAAAATGAATGGCTGTTCAGTTTTCTCTAAACATTCCAAGGTCTATGAAAAGGAGGCATTCACACATACTCCATTGCTCAAGATGGTATTTTAACAGTTAGTCATACTATTAACTATCAAATAGAATTTTTTTGTAGAAGAAAAGAGAAATCACATGAATATAGTATTTAAAACAACTCACCCTGCTGAGATGAATTTATGTTAGAGACTTCAGTTTTCACATGGAACCTAGAGCCCATCCCAAGCCTTTCTTCATCTCTTTGATGACTAACCAAGTCATTCAGTTGATCTGAATCCCTGGTGGCAGCACCGATGCGGGTAGGAATCGGCTCAAATGTTGGGTCCAGGTCCAAAATTAGTCTGTTTAGCTGTTCAATTGACTGATCAATATCCAAAGTTGGTGAAGATGGCAAAACTCCAGCACTGCTTCTTGTATTCTGTTTCAATTCATTGTTATTTCCACCATTTTCAGAGAGAAACCTTAATTTAGAAACCTTTGGTTCAGATGTTTCAACCACATTACTAGAAGATGATATACTCCCAAGCCTCCTTTGTACCTCACTTCTACTGCTGGAGCTTTGGAGAAGTGTATTTGGAACTCTGGCTTGATTTTCCAGGTTGCCCACATTTGCAACTATGTTATGAATACCAAATCCAACTTCATTCTCTGGAGTATTGATATACTGATTAGCAATTACCATTTGTTGTTGGCGCACCCATGTCTGGGTTGAATAGCTACTGGCACTATAGGATGAATGGGTGGAAACTGGAGGATTCTTTGACAGCTGCTGACAACTTTTTGTATCAATCCTTCCAAAGGACCTTTCATACATAGAGTCAACATTAATTCCCAGATCTGCAGCCAGAATGTTATGATGTTCCTCTCCAGTATTACTTCCAAAGCCATCTGACAGGAGGGAATTCTGATAACTCTTATGGCAGCTCAAATTCCCAAGGTGGTTAGATTGCTGACCTTCAGAGGAAGACAATGTTCCAAAACTATCCAAGCTGTGAAGATCATAAGTGGGCATCTCATCATCTAGAATATCTGTCTCTCTTTCCTTGTGTTTGACATCTCCATTCACATGAACTTGGGCTGGCACTTTGTTGCAGGTCTCACTATATTTGCTTTGGGCATCAGTCATTTCCATGAGCGGAATGATTGAGTTCTCTAGGCCAAAGCCACTAAGCAATTGATCAAGTTCTTCCTTTTCCTGGGGACTCAAGATTCGTTTTATTCCTGGAGGATGTTCCTCAGTTTTTTCTGTCCTTACAGAAGCTGTAGAATGTCCTGAATCACTACTCACAGATAGGGTATGATCACTATGATCAGAGTTATTATTTGTGGCACCTTTGATTCTGCTGGGAATGCTGGCATCAGACGAGCTTTTTTTCCTCACCTTAGCATAAAGGCTGCCATCAATCGGACCATGGGAGTGCAGCACTGTAAAGGAGAAATGAGAATCAAAATATAATAACTATATGAAGAAACGATATTACAGTAAAAATGGGATGGGGAAGAGAGATTTATATAGTAATAGAAACAGGGCATGAGATTGTTAATTCTGTCAACCTTAATACAATTGCTATAATTTATTTACATTAGTGCTTCCACTTTTTGCACAGAACACAATTTCCATCTTTGACTAGTTTCACAAAATAGATTGTTGTGATGTAATAACAAAGGTAAACATTTATTGGCTCCATAATCGTACAATTGTTAGTATTGCAGAATGAATAATAGCACAGTATCACCAAGACCAATTTGATTCAAAAGGTTCTGTGGGAAAAAGGAGTTGCAGAGCTTGGGGGAAGAGTTAAATGAGGGATTAATCTGAAGTCCCAGTAGCCACAAGCAAAATAAATGCAACTTCTAATTGACCTTTATCTAACCCCAAGCAGATGCTGACCATTAGTTGACAAGATTTTTATGCATAGCATGACTAGCACCGATGCGGATAGGAATTGGCTCAAATGTTGGGTCCAGGTCCAATCAGTTTAACTGGACCTTCACTTGTGGATCTGATCTTTCATACTTGGTAACATGATTCCTTTTCTCCCACTCCAGTTTCTGTTAATTTATCTTTTACCGCTAAATTAATTTAAATTAGATAAACAGGAGGGGAAAAAGGAATCATATGATACTTTTGGAGAATCTATAATACCAGCCAATCACTGCAGAAAATACAATTCTAGGGTATTTAGGGAATAGGTAGTCCTTAACTTATATTCTTTTATTTAGTGACTTTTAGAAATTACAATATCACTGAAAAAAGTGACTTCTCACCATTTTTCACAGAACTGTTGCAATATCCCCATGGTCATGTGATCAAAATTTGGATATTTGGCAACTGGCTCATAGTTATGATGATTGCAGTATCCCAGGCTCACATGATCACCTTTTGTGATCTTCTGGGAAGCAAAGTCAATAGGAAGCCAGATTCATTTAACAACTGTTTTACTAACTTAATAACTGTGGTAAGAGAGGTTGTAAAAGGGGGCAAAATTCACTTAACAATTAACTGTCTTGCCTAGCAACAGAAAATGTGAGCTTAATTGTAGTTGTAAGTTTTTATTTCTGCAGAACTATTGCTCATTTTTCTGAATTACCAATATGGGTATAACTTCTAAAATGGCAGGCAATAAACAGACTTGATCTTGCCATGTCAGTGTTTCAAATTTCTTTTCAAACTAAGCCTTTCAAAGAATATCAGATGCTGATATCATACTACAGTTAAATAATATTACCTTATTTCACCTGTATTTGATAATAGACACAATGGTGGAATTTCCATTGGAAGCAACACAGAGAAGTATAAATAATTTTCTTCCCCAGTGCAATGTATACATCATTCTATATCAGAAGAAGCCAACAGATCATCACTGCCATATTATTGATGATAAAATTATGGGCTTCTCCAGATAGTGCTGAATTTCAAAAAGACTATTTATGGTATAAATTAATCCTATGTATCTAAATAACATAATTAATGGGGGGGGGGACTACTGGCCTACAATGTCCTCACAACCTTATATATAAATCTGCAAATCTTAGAATTTCAGCCCTATATATTTAAGCTACATGCATAGAAGCCAATTCCAGTCCTCCCTAGTCAACTGGCATCAGCAACTAGGCTTCCTCATATCTCTTACTAACATTACATATTTAGGTTTCATGCTTACCTGTCTATGGGTCCAAGTGGATTACTGGGGGTGGAGGGAAGGCTAACAATGAATTAATCTAACCAAAATTGTCTTCTTAAAGAAACACACAAACATCAAGGACATATAAAGACTAATCCCATATTCATCCTCCAAATATCTTGACATATTATTCCAATCCCCAGGAATCAGTCACTAACAAATCTATTTCTGACAAAGGTAAACAACAGCATTAAGGCCATATTGGGTTTCTTTTATACCAAAGAAAGAAAATAATATTTGTGCCATATTTTTTTTCTAAAACTAAATATATTTCTTAAGTTTGATGTGGGTACCAAGTATATGCTCCACGATATGTGCATACAGTGATTTAGATATCATGTGTATACAACATAATTGCCTTGAGAGAGCTATTTCAAATTTGTTCCTTTATTTTAAGTGTAGAACTCATTTAGAATCTCGGAAAAATCTTCCTAAAATTTAGGGTTTGTATGTGGTCAATGTCAATTTTTTGTTACCATGTAGATATGTTACCTCCATGGCAATCTTTGTATTGCTAACTAGGGCATACAAAACCTTTACCAGACTAATTCTTGAATACAGCTTGTCCACCTGAAATCCATACTGTATGTATATCGGACATTAACACAATCGAGAGGGTTCAGAGGCATTTCACAAAAAGAGTACTCCACCACTCTCTACTCACAATAGAATCCCTTATGCCACTAGGCTTGAAATTTTGGGCTTGATCAATTTGGAACTGCACCACCTGCAGTCCAGTCTAAGCATAGTACACAAATTGTCTGCTACAATGTCTTACCTGTCAATGACTTCTTAAGCTTCTACCATAATAATATATGGGCAAACAATTGATACAAACTCAAGATAAACCACTTCGAACTTGATTGCAGAAAATATGGCTTCAGCAATAGAGTGGTCAAAAGATGGAATGCTCTACCCGACTTCATTGTTACAGCCTCAACCCCTCACAGCTTCAATCTCAAACTGTCTTCCATGGACCTCAATCCATTCCTAAGAGGTCCATAAAGGAGGCGTGCAGAAGCACACCAGTGTGCCTACCGACCCTGTCTTACTGTACCCATTTATCTGTATTTACTTCCTTCTTCATGTTTATGTTCATACTTAAAGCTGCTATCTTGTACGTGTTTGACAAATAAATAAATAAATAAAATATCTCCTTAATCTGGTCTTTCAGGTCATGTACATTTGGCTTTTCTTGCCTAAATGTAAAACCTTTTCTCAACATTGACTTGTGCTTTGTTGGATAGGGCTCGAGTTTGTCAAGATATTCTGGATCTTGAGCCTATATTAGGATTACAGATTACAGATTAACAAAGTCATCTAGTCCAACCCTACACCATTTCTGACAAATGGCAGTCCAATCTCTTCTTGAAAGTTTCAAGTGATGAAGTTCCCACAACTTCCGAAGGCAAGCTGTTCCATTGATTGATTGTTCTGTCAGAAAGTTTCTCCTTATTTCCAGGTAAAATTTCTTTCTTCAGTTTCCATCCATTATTCCTTGACTGGCCTACAGGTGCTTTAAGAAAATAGCTTGACCCCTTCCTCTCTGTGGCAGCCCTTCAAATATTGAGACAGTGCTATCATGTATCCCCTGGTCTTCTCTTCACTAGAATAGCCATTCTAAAGTTTTGGCTTTTCTCCCACCTTGGCGTCATCTGCAAATTTGATGAATTTCCCTTTTAGCTCCTCATCTAAATCATTTATGAAAACGTTGAAGAATACTGGGCCTAACAAAAAACCTTGCAGTATACTTCCCTCCATGTAGATGCAGTTCCATTGAGGAGTACATATTGTGTGCGGTTGGTCAGCCAGTTATGAATCTATCTGGTGGTGATGCTATCTTACCAAAAGTAGATTACAGTCTACTTTGTCAAATGTCTTGCTGAAATTTAAGTATACAATGTTCAGAGATTTCGCTGCTCTACTAATTTAGTCACATTGTCAAAGAATGCAGTAAGATTTTTCTGGTATGATCTGTTTTTGACAAACTATATTGGCTTCCAACAATAACTTCGCTTGTTTCTAGTTGTTCAACGGAGCCATTATTTCATTATCTTTTCCAGGATCTTCTCAGGTATTGATGTCTGGCTAATTGGTTGTAGTTTCTTGGATTCATTTTTTTCCCCTTTTTTGAAGATGGGGAAAATATCCACTGTTTTCCAAGGCTGTAGTAGTTCCTCAGTACTCCAGAGCTCTGAAAAATAAGATTCAGTGTTTCCAAGATCACATTTGATAGATCCTTCAGAACTCTGGGATGTAATCCATCTTTTCCAGTGATTTGAACTCATCTCAAGTGGATAGGTGCTGTATTACCATTTTCTTGCCTATTTTGATGTGTATTTCTAATATGTCTTTTATGGTAGTGCTTTGGTAGATTTGGCTGATTTTTTTCCTTTTGTGTAAAGACAAATGTAAAGAATGAATTAAGCACTTCTATTCTTCCCTGCTGTCTCTCATCTCCTTGCAATCTTCCCCTATTAATGAATTGTTTCCTTGATTTTTTTCTTGCTTTTTGTATGTTGAAAGAAACTTTTTTAAATGGTTTTTGACGTTAGTTGCAAATGACTTAGTTCATTTTGAGCCATAGCTTTCCTGTCTTCATTTTTGTAAAATTTGAGCTATATGCTGGTATTCTGCCTTAGTTATGTGTCCCTCTTTTCATTTTTTAACTAGTCCTTTTTGTCTTCCAGAGTTGTTATAATGATTTATGTGATATAGTTCTCCAGAAGAACCATAAGAATTAGGGTGCATATACGTTTCTGCACTATTGGATATTATTTTTCCAGCGCACTGCAAAACTTTCTCCCTAGCCCACTTAACATTTTCCCCTCTGCATTTTTGGAAGTGTCATGACTTTGGGAATCAGACTTAACTGCAACACAGACTACTTCTGGCATTTAATTGCCCCTCCCCTTTCCTCCTTACATTCCTCCTGAGATCTTTATACCCCCACTGAAGTGTACAGCTCAGGAGCAAGCAGTAAGATACTGACCAGCAAGGCTTAAGGAAAGGTTGGCAGAACTCAGTAACGAGGTGATTTAAAGCTGAAAGAGACAGTTTTCCCTGGCTCATTTGGGAATCTGGCTTCATGCTGTATGATTCGTTTCTGCAAACTAGTTCTTTACCACTGTGGCATGTTAATTAAGACCTCATTTCTCCATTGATATGGCATCATAAATTTTTGTTTGGACAGCTTGACCTGGAATTTGCCTTTGTTTAGTTAAGTTCTTATCTGCAAGA